CGTTGTCCTCTACTTAAAATACTTTTATTTAATTAATAAATATGTTTAAAAGATAATTATTTAATTTATTAAACTTATATTCGGTTCTCATTTTTGCATTTCGGTTCTCGGTTTTTCATGATAGTTTAAGCATGGAGTTGTAATTTTTTTGATCGATTCTTAGCTCAAACCCTGTTATTGTCGGTTATTTTTCATTATTCAGTTATTTATAATATAACTATTAATTTTATTATAATTATAGTGGTTGGTAAAAAATAAAAATGTAACCGTAGAGGTTAATAAAATTTTATAAAATTACATAAAAATAAAAATAATATCAACTACTATTGTTTTCAAAATCGGGCCAAACTAGCTGTCGAGAATTGATCAACTAAACGGTTGGATTTCTTTGAACGAATTGCTTTCTAATGAACCAGTCACAACTGGTTGACCGGACTTGTCAACTATTTTTTACAGTGCTCACTACAATTTTATTAACTTAGACGAAAAAAACTTTCTTTCAACAATGTTCACTACCATATTATTATTTAATATAATAATAATAATAATATAGATTTAAATATATTTGAATCTATATATATCAAATATGAGAAAATTGTATATTTGGTCCAACGATCGCATTTTAGTCCTAAGGGATCACTACCATTTTTTATTGGTAACGTTGACTTCCATTTTCACAACAAAAATAAGCTAAGTACTAAAAATGCGCTCCTCGGGACTAAAATCTCGAACATCCCAAACTAACGAGACGTTGCAATTTTCCCCATTTGTTAAATTTATGAAGATTGATATCCAAATATAATATATAAATAATAGTATTATTTATAAAGTATTCCTATAACTTTTTATATTGATATTAATAGTAAAATTGATAATATGTTTCTTAATTCGGGTCTGTACGTTATAGAACTAATTGGATGAGTTTGGTTTTCGGTACGTATGTTTGTTAAATCTCAAGAACCTGCATACCAATCATCTATTTCGAATAAGTTCATAGAAAGTTAAATGCTTAACGAATATTTTTTGCCACTTGATCGAGCTAACAAAGTTTGAATCGCAACACATGAGAACTTAATTAAGATAATATGACGCGATTGGATTAGACAAAGCTTGATATTTATCAACATATATAGTGTGTGTATGTGTGTGTGTGTGTGTGTGATCGAACCCGTACGAACCGGTCTAATGTTTTTAGAAATGGCGGACGTGACACATGATAGATTTTCGAAAGAAGAAGAAGAAGAAGAGAATGGTTGGAAGTTCCCGTGCATAGAAGAAGAAGAAGAATAAGAAGAAGAACTTGAAGAAGAAGAACTTGAAGATACTGAGTCGGAGTTCTTGTCGGGTAGAACCGGGCCGCGGTACGAGGCACGACATAAAGTTGTCAAAGACCAAGGCATTTTTCGAATAAAAAAACATATATTTAATAATACTGTTAATAATATATATTAATAATATATATTCAATATCCGCCCTATATATAATTTCAGAATGCGCTGAGCCTACGTGGCTGCTTCTGGTGCTTCGGAATCCTACTTAGCGAAGAATCATGCTTCGTAATTAGGTTTGGACAAATAATATTGATATATTAATAATTAATAATTTAGGTTCGTACATTCCATAAATATTATTTAGCTAACTTAGGTATTTTAATATTACTTGTACTAATATAACCTTTTAATTATTTGTAATTTTACATAGTGAGACACTAAATGACTAATATATCCCTGACTTTTGATTTGTTTTCTTCAATTAACTATTGAATTAAAAATGTATTTTAAAAGTTAATAACTTTTGTATTTCTTATTGGTTTTACATATATAATATATCAAATTAATCATTTTTTCATGATCTTCGATTTGACATCCATATTGTATATATAAAATAAATAAATTATTATAATATAACACAAGTAAGTCACACAAATAAAAAGTGTCATACTAAATATATACTAATATATATATTTTTATAAAGGTAGTTAAATTTTCACCTACTTTTTCTCATCAATTTTAAATTTGAAGGAAAAAATTATTAACAAGCACCCGTGTAATACACGGGCGTTGTACTAGTATATTAATAAAAAACATATATTTAATAATACTATTTAATATATATTAAATATATATTTTTCTAATATATTTAATAATACTATTTATATATCTAAAAAAACATTTCTAACTATAATAAATATGTATAAGTTATTATTATTTAGCTTAAGTAATTGAATGGTTAAGTTAACATAACATTTACTTAACAAATGTTGTATACATTTATTATATAAAATAATATGTCATATGCCTTATTAACCTTATGAATAACAGAACATAAAATTGCTAAAGTGCCGGCATTAAGAATCCAAAATATAGCATATCATTAAGCCTATGAAATTCATAGATAAAGGCAATTTCCTTTTTTCCCCCAAAACGGTTCTCTCCTTAACTTCACAGACCCAAAAACTCATCTCCTAATTTCAGCTCCCAATCTCAACCTAAAAACTGAAACTAAATCAATCTTGCACCACACTCGCGAGGGAATCGGTTTAATGTCGATCTCGTCTCCCAATCTCAACCTAAAATCTGAATCAATTTCACGAGAGAAAAGGAATCAAGCTGGAGGTCGACTAGTCTGTGGAGAGTGAGGTTGTGGGTGGTGTGAGCGGGCGACGAATTTGTAGCGTGGCGGAGCAGGTGTTATGGCCGAGGGACAGCCACTTCTCGATGGAGGTCCAGTAGTCGGTCAAGGTGGTGCAGAGGCTTGCCAGAGACCTCATCACGTCCATGGTGATCGGGCACCACAGGTAACGGTTGTATACAATCTATATCTATATCTATATCTATATCTATATAATGGACCACTCATTATTGCCATAATTGGCATGATTTTGGGCGGAAAAATTTTTCGTCTATATTTGGCATTTAATTAATATTTATTTATTAGCAAGACTTGTACATAAAAAACATTATTAATTTTTATACATTCAATGACTATTACTCATTAACTACAAATTGGCTTAAATTAAAATTTTGACCGTAGATTTATTAGATATATTTTCAATAAGATCTTATATTAATTTAATAGTAATTTATTGACACAACTTAAAAAATTATTATGGAAATTGATTTGGTTAAATATATTATCATCTATGGTTGTAGGCATTAATTTAACTAATTAAATTCACTATTCAGATGTAGTTAAAATACTTAATAAAATAATCAGAACAACTATGTTTAATAAAATATTAATAAAAGTTTCAAAAATGTAGTCAATTTAACCATAAAAAAAGTATATCTCCATTGGATATATCATATGCAATGATAATACTATTAAAATTTAAATAGTATACTAATAAAAATAAATTTTGATGGTCGGGTGCAATTTAGAATTATAAATTTCACCTTAGAAGTATCTATGTACATTAAAAACTTTTTCTTATATACTATTAATGAAAAACATGTTAATAAAAAACAATGTATAATTATTTAGATTATGGCACTTGGTTATTATGAAAATATATAATATATCTAAATATTTGAATAGATACTATGTAACTCATTATATAGGTTGAAAAAATAAATTAAAGAAATAAATGTAAATAAAACATAGAAACATAAAAATAAAATATTTAGCCATAAAAAAATTGTATGTTGCATAAGGATTAAAGTCACTAAAAATTTAAATTTATTTATCAAAGTTTTTAACATTTAATGCACTTAATAATTATAGTGGAAGATAAATATTATGGGTTAATCATTGGTCAATTATCAAGCAATGTGCAAAGTACGAATTATTAAAAAATTATAAGCATGTGATAAACGACAATTTTATAAGTATATATACAAGTAATTTGTATGCAAATATCATATGATCATATACATTTATAATATTTTATAAACTTATAAATAATTAAATTTATATATTAAATAGTCAAAACCTACAAAAAAAAATACAAAAATAGAAATTAAAAATAATAGTCCATAAATAAATATCATATTGTTACTTAATAGAATATTGTGGATGATATAATTTTATATTGTCTTAAATAATTATATAATATTTAAATAAAAAATAATTTTTTATTGCACCCCGTGCATCGCACGGGTATCAACACTAGTAGAAATTGAAAAATTAAAAAGAAAATTATAATTTTTATCTAGCAAAACAATTGGCGGGATTAAATTTTTTTGGCTCTCCAAATTCAAGCTTAATTAGGAATTTTGTATCTAATTAGGGTAGTGAAACAAAGAGTTTATGATTTTGTGCCTCTGTCAATCTTTCCCTTTTTTATCTGCCCAAATATATATATGCATAATTAGGTTTTACTTAGCACTACATCCAAAATAATAGTTGCAAAACACACGCATCCTTACAATCTTTTCCTGGTGAAGTTTCTTATTCGATCATGTATAAAATTTGTGTTTTTACAGATTTTATATTGGCTCACCTTTTTTCAGATTCTATCTTTGTATAAGCATAATATCGTTAGCTGAAGGTGTAATTTTTGTGTTTCAAATTATGTTTCATATTTTTTTTTTCCATATTCTGAGTTTGTCTTTGTATAATCATAATAGCTGAAGGTGCAGAATTTGTGTTACATATTCGGATTCTATATTCTTTTTTTTTTTTTTTCATATTCTGGTTCTATCTTTTTCTGGTGATGAAGTTTCTTTATCTTTTCAACCTAAATTTGTGTTTTACAGAGTTTTTCTTCATCTTTCATAAATAGAAGTCAGCAGAAGGTGCAATATTTTATTTATTATTAATTCTACATGTGTTATTTTCTCAATAGCTGATGGTAGACTAGAGTTTAGGGAATCCTAAGAACTATATGTATATATATATATATATATTGAGTCATAACATGTATAGTCATTATTGGAATGCGTAATTTAACTATATGTGTTCTTTTTTCAACAAGTAGGCATTTTTATTAAAATGATTATGTATTTCTTAGCTCTTCAAAATTTGTTTTGCATTGATAAAATTTTTGTTGTCTTATGTAGATTTCTACGAATGGCGCAGGAATTTGTAAACCTAGAATTATTTCAAAAGCTTATCTACAAAGCATGGTTAACCAAGCTGCCAAGGATAGCTCAACTACTGCGTTGGCTCGTATTGGAGTCAGAGAACGTCTTAACCAATTAAATGTGTCATCAAATGTGCCATCTGCCGGAGTTGAAACTGCAGGAGTTGAAGTGACAGGAGAAAGTCGAACTATTGAAGTTGATCATGGTTCTTCTGGTGAAGGTGATAATACTACAACAAATCACACTAATGAGAGTGGCATTCCCCAAACCCTTGAAGATTCCAACCAAAATCAGAATTTGAATGCAGCTGAAGCTGGTAACCTTCAGGATACATCAATCAAAGGTACAATATGTTTCTTACTTAGGATAACTGTTGGAATACCGACAATATGTTCTTAATTCTTATTGTTGTGCATTCTGGATTTTTTTTTTCTTTTCTAATAATAATTGTCGGTATTTGTTAACGTGTAATCCATATTTACCAGGGATATATTTGCAGAGCATCTTATTGTGATATCTGATACGCGATGATGTTTAAACTAAGAACTGCTTTGGAATATTGTTTTCTCAAAGCCAAAATCAGGAAAAAATAATTTTAATCGGTTTATGCTTATTCCCTGTAACTAGTTTTGTGTTGTCAAATGTGATAGAACTTAAGAGAGATGGAAAGGATAAATCTTTTGACCTTGTACCAATTAAGATTCATTCTGAAAGCTTAAACCAAAGTTGGGGAGATGATCATGAGCTGATTAATTACACCTAAAAGAAAATGGTATTATAAAAAAAAACCATGGAAAAGGACAATGGGGTCTGCTTGGCAATTATTTGATGGGTGATTTGGCACTCACTGAGTCTCGTGCGAGTGACCCCGACTTTTTTTTTTTTTTGCCGGAACGATAGAAATATTATAAACCAAAATGCACAAATGTGCGAATACAAAGCAGCCCCTAGCTGAAAGAAAACAGCCAACAGCTGAAAAAGTGGGAGGACAAGTCAAAAGACCGCCTAGAATCCCTACTAGCCGAGCTAGAATAAAACACTCCCAACCTAAACAACAACACTAACAACACACTACAAACCACAAGACTACAAATGAAAGCTCCCCACAGGAGAATAGAGGGGAGCAGATCCCCACAGGATAATAAATTTGCTCCCGCTAGTGACCCCGACTTTCCCTGTTAAAAAAATTTGGATTTCTGCTCATCATACAAATTATTGCTTAGGTTATTCCGTATTTTTTTTAATACATGTTTCTGTTTTTCAATTATATAGTCCTTAACAATGGTTTTGCTAGCCATTAGGTGGTGTCGGTTCTTACTGATATGAATAGTTGTAACTGACCGAGTCTAGTTTACATTACATGTTCTTATGTGTAGCAAAAACATGCATATTTTAGGATTTTTTTTTTCACTTACTGATGCCAATAATAAAGATTTATAACCTGAGGGATTTTATTTTAACATAATTAGATGAATGTCCACTGGGATTTTATTTGTGTATGAAGAGTCTTGTCATGGTAGTAGAGACATGCTGTAATCAAATTTATTATGCATGTTGTGACTTGTTGATTCTTTTGTTGTGCATGCTGTAGCTAGTGCATGTTGCAGCTATGCTTGTGCATGCTGTTAATGAACAAAGAATATAATTAACTTCATGCCTTCTTGGAAATATTTGTGTAGGCAGATTAGTAGAAAAAACTATGAATTTATTTTGGACTGTCGCATTTGGTCAACTTATTTGTCTGTTAGTGTTGCTTAATCGTATTCTGGTTTATAAATGAGTTAGAGTCTTAAAAACTTTGAATGAAATAATTGTAAGGAATTAGCCTCGATTAATGAAATGTAATGTTCTTTGTTACCAGACAAAGCTTCCGTCCCTAAGAGAAGACGTTGTCAAACAATGGGTAAGGGAATTATGAAAGCATTTGATGCCTCTGGAAAGAAGTTGAAGGTAGATGTGGATCCAATGATAGGACGGCCCAAAAGTCGAGAGCAATCTGCAAAGCTCTCAAGTCAAATTGGTG